TCTAGGGAGGGCTTAGGGTTTAGGGTTTAGTTAGGGTTTAGGGTTTAGGGTTTAGGGTTTAGGGTTTAGGGTTTAGTGTTTAGGGTTTAGGGTTTAGGGTTTAGGGTTTAGGGTTTAGGGTTAAGGGTTTAGGGACTAGGTATTTTCAAGACAGGAACGAAGCACAGGCTCTCAGGCTCTGGGTCCAAACTCGTAACCCTATAACTCCAAAAGCTCCCAAAAAAAAACCCAAAACCCCATGTTTACCTTCAAAACCCGTAACCCTAAACACAAACCCTAAAACCTAAACCCTAAAACCTAAAACCTGAACCCTAAACCCTGAAACCTAAACCCTAAACCCTATAAACGCCTATGTACAACTGTACTTGAAACTCAAGCCGGAGCTAGCCGAGGCCCTGGTTCTCAAAAGCCTGAACTCCGCTTTAGGGCTTGGGGCTCGCGGGCTCCAGGGTTCTGGGGTTTAGGGTGTCGGGCTTTGGGCGTTTAGGGTTTAGGGTTCAAGGCTCTGGGGCTCTAGGGTCTAGGGTTCTTTTTAGGCTTAAGGGTTTAGGGTTTAGGGTTTTAGGGTTTAGGGTTTAGGGTTTAGGGTTTAGGGTTTAGGATTCAGGGTTATAGGGTTCTGGTCAAAATTCTACAAGGTTTCTACAATGCAAGGACTCTATAAGGTGGGTCTACATGGGTTCTATAGGGGTTCATGGCTTGTGGTTTTCAGGCTTTAGGTGGGAGTCCCAAAGGTCAGGAGACCACATAAACATGAGGATCGCACATGTATGAGGTGGTGCAGGAGCCCCTCAGGCCTAAACCCTAAAGCCTAAACCCTCCTAAACGGCGCTAACATCCTAGTGTCTTTGGGGGCCTTTTGGGAGCACCGAGGTCGCCGCCCAGATTTCTGTCATGCGGGGAAGGCTGGCGCCCTCCACATTTGCAGACAAAGCCTCCCCTCAGTGGGCAAGAGGCAGGATCGCCGGAGGTTGGGGCTTCCTACACCCCTAATTTAAACCCTGAACCCCAAACCCTACATTGAAGGACCCCCTAACGGAGCCCTATTCGATTTTAGAGTTTGGGGTTTAGGGGTATAGCGGTGCAGGGTTTAGGGGTTTACTAAAACCCTAAGCTCTGAACCCCTAAACCCTAAACTCCCAAATCGAACAGGGCTCCTTTAGGGGATCCTTCAAGAGGGCCACTGTAAGGGCTCTATAAGAGATCTATGATATAGGGGCCTTAACAGATCCCTTGAGGGTTTGGGGTTTAATATAGGGGTCCAACAACCAGAATAGAATTTCTTTGAGGGATCGTTTTGAAAGGGTCTGTAAGTGCTACAATAGGCTCTATAATATAGGGGCCTTAAGAATTAAGGGAAGGTTGTGAGAGATATTTTGGTATGGCTATAATGATAAAATAATAAGGAACCCCAGGGAATCTCTGGTGTAATTATTCCGACCCCTATATAACTCTGAATGGATCCTGGTACTTACGGTAACTAGGGTTGTAAATATTGCAACTACAGCTAGAATTAAGAAACCCTAAACCCTAAACTGTCTTGCCCCACTTAATGTACTTATAGCCTCGCTTCTTACGTCCTCTGATCCCCAGCCCTAAACCCCTAAAACCCTGACCCCAAACCTAAACCCTAAACCCTTCAACCCTTAAACTCTAAACCCTGAACCCCCCAAACCGCAAAACCCCAAAACCCTAAAACCTCAAACCATTAAACCCTAAAACCCAAAACCCCCAAAAACCCTGAACCCCTAGGTAAGGCTTAGAATCTGGGGCTCCGGGATTTCTGCTCGCGGTCCGGGGATTGGGGGTTGGGAGTTGCAGAAAACCGGTGGAAGGTTTAGGGTTTAGGCTTAGAGTTTAGGATCGCGTTGTTCGGGAGTTTAGGGTTTAGGATAGAGTTGTTTGGGAGTTTAGGGTTT